GTCTCTGCCTGGTTTACGGTTGAGAGTTACGATGGCTTCATAGAATGCATTTGGTAGTTTACTTTCTCTTTCAATTTCATTGAAGAGTTGGAGGAGTATTGGTGTGAGCTCTGCTTTTAATGCCGTATAGAATTTCACTGTAAAACCCTCTGGTCCTGGGCTTTTCTTAGATGGAAGTTCTCTTATTGCTGTTTCTATTTCAATGCTTGATATTGGCCAGTTAAGATGGTTTACCTCGGGGCCTGGGGGTTTAGCCCAGCGGAAGGGCGCCTGCCCGGCACGCACAAGGCCCTGGGTTCGGTCTTCAGCCCTGGAAAAAAAAAAGATGGTTTACCTCATTTGGTTTAGTTGTGGCATGTCGATATTTGCTAGGAAATGGTCCATTTCTGCCAAGTTCTCAAACTTATTATCATAAAGGTTTGAGAAGTATATCCTTATAATGTTCTGAATCTTGGTTGTTTCTCTGGTGATGTTTCCATTCTAATTTATTTATTTGGGTGTGTTCTCTTCTTTTTCTGATAAGATTTGCTAAGGGTCTGTCAATTTTATTAATAGTTTCGAAGAACCAACTGTTTGTTTTGTTGATTCCTTCTATTATTTTTGGATTCTAATTTGTCTAATCAAAAAAATGCGCTTTACTACTTTGGGGTGTGTGGGGCGTAGGGGTAGTGGTGGTAGGGGGTATAGGGGTGGGAGGGTGGAGAGGGGAAGGTATGGTATGGGGTAACAAATGAGGAGGCAACAATGCTTGATAAAAAATGTACTCACTATCTTGCCCATGCAATTTTAACCCCTCTATGTTATTTTTACAGTAAAAATAATAATAATTCTGATTTTATTTTAATTATTTCTCTCCATCTACTGGATTGGGATTTATCTTGCTGCTCTTTTTCAAGGAGGTTCAGGTGTCACATTGTTGGTTTTATATCTCTAAAATTTGTTGATGTAGGAACTCAGAGCTATAAAATTGCCTCCGAGTACTGCCTTTGCTGTGTCCCAGAGGAGCTGGTAATTTGTGTGTTCATTTTTGTTGAATATCATGAACATTTGAATTTCCTTTTTAATCCCTTCCATGACAAACTGGTGATTCAAATGTTTGTTGTTCAGCCTCAGTCTTGTTGTTACAGTACCTTCTTTAGTGGCTTTTGGTGCTGAGTTCTAATTTTATTCCCTTGTGGTCTGAGAGAATGCAAGGCATAACTTCAATGTTTCTGAATTTGGACGTTTGCTTTTTGACCTAAATGTGGTCTATTTTGGAAAAATGTTCCATATGCTGCTGAGAAAAACGTGTATTCTGATGCTGCTGGGTGAAATATTCGTTAGAAGTTTGTTAAATCTAATTGATCTATGCAGTTGTTTAGATCTGCGGTTTCCCTGTTGAGTTTTTGCCGAGTTGATCTATCTAGTGGGGATAGTGGTGTGTTAAAGTCCACAATAATTAATGTCTTTGGATCTTTGTGAAATTTGAGGAAAAGTAGTGTTTCTTGGATGAATTTGGGTGCTTCATTGTTGGCAAATAGATATTTAGAATTGTAATATCCCCCTGAAGGAGAGATCCCTTAATTAGTATGTAGCGACCTTCTTTATCTCTTCTCACTAATTTTAATTTGAAGTCTATTTTATCTGATATTAGGATTGCAACTCCCGCCTGTTTATGGGAGCTGTTTGCTTGGTAGATTTTGTTCCTGCCTTTTACTTTCAAAATGTTTGTTTTTATGGGCAAAGTGTGACTCCTGAAAACAGCAGATAGAAGGGTCTTGCTTTTCAATCCAACTAGTCAATGTCGCTTAATTGGAGAGTTAAATCTGTTAATGTGGAGAGTTAGGACTGAGAGGTATTTGGTAGTTACTGCCATGATATCCACCTTCTTATGGGCTGCCACAACTGGGTTCTTCCTATGGTTCTTGGATTCTCAGTTTGGGTGCAGTTTCTTGGCCTTTATTGTGGTCTTTTTGGTTTTCTATGTGTAGGAAATCTTTAAGTATCTTTTGTACGGTTGGTTTGGTGGATACATATTGCTTCAGTTTTTCTTTGCTATGATAGGTTTTTATTTGACCTTCAGTTGTGAGGGAGAGTTTAGCTGGGTACAGTATTCTTTGTTAAGAGTTGTTTGTCAATAGGGTATGTCATATATCATTCCAGGCTGTTCTTGCTTTGTCTCTAATGAGAAATCTGAGGTGATTATAATTGGCTTCCCTTTGTAGGTGATTGATCTTTTCTCCTTGACAGCTTTAAAGATCTTTTCCTTGGTCTGAATTGATCCTGTGCAGATTATAATGTGATGGTGGGATGTCCTGTTCTAGTCTGGTCTATTTGGGGTTCTAAAAATGTCTTGTATTTGAATAGGCCTATCTTTTTGCATGTTTGGGAAGTTCTCTGGTAGGATCCTGTTAAACAAATTTCCTAGACCATTAACTTCTGCCTCCAGGTTCTCCTGTGCACCCATTATCCTCAGATAAGGCCTTCTGATGGTGTTTTCCAAATGTTGAATGGATCTATCATATCTCTTGGATTTGTCTTGGATAGTTGTATGTTCTTTCTCTATAATAGCTAGGCTGTCTTCAATCTCCGAGATTTGATCTTCTGCATGGTTTAACCTACTGTCAAGACTTTCTACTTTTTTTAAATTTCTTTTCCTTCTAATTGGTCAGCTTTGATTGCTTACAATTCTTTGTTGGAACTTTGTTTTAGATCTTGTATGGCCTTCTTTACTTCCTTAATTTGGTGTTCACTGTTTATTCTCTAATCACTTAGTTGATTGGTTATGGTTTCCTTGGACTCTCATTCCTTCTATTGGGCTCCATTCAGCATTCCCTCTGTGGTCTCCCTGACTTCCTTCAGCTCCTTGTTAATGGATTCCATAATGCCTTTAGTGATCTTTGTCTATTCTCATTCCACTCTTGCAATTCCTGCATACTCTTTGATTAGCTTCCTCACATTCATTCAATTCCTGTAGTTCTCTTTGACTGTTCTCAGCCTGCTCATGCAATTCCTAACTTTCTCTTTGACTGTTCTCAGCCTGCTCATTCAATTCCTGTCTTTCTAACTGTTCTCAACCTGCTCACTCAATCCATGTATTAATCTTTGACTAGCTTCCTCATGCTCACGAGATTCCTGTATTAATCTTTGGTTTGCCTCCTCTTTCTCACTATCATACTCACACTGAGTCCTTTGCAGGTTTTCAATATTTTCATTCACCCGGTTTACCAGTAATGTTTGTAGAGCTTTTTGGGAACTCTCCACAGAATTATTCATAAAGTGTTCTGTCACCTGACTACCATGAGTTGAAGTTGAGATACCTGAACTTGCCATTTTTCTTGTTTTTCCAGCTTGTTCTGCCTATATAGTATGAAAGTAACACCAATTTTGTGCTAGAACACTATTTTAAGGCAAGCATCAACGAAAGCACTGAAGTTGCACAGTCTAAATGGCTGCAGATACAATCTAGTTCAACAGATACAATCTTTCAACATCAAACTATGGATTAATGGGTAAGAACAGCAAGGAAGAATTTGGCAAACCAGAAATTATTAGGTTTAGGGGAAAATGTGGGGAAAATAGGATTAGAGGGATGTGGAGAGATAAAAGGAGAGTGAATTTAACCAAGTCCTAAGCTCAGTGAGGGAAATGGATTGGACAGAATGATAAGAGAGAGATTTAAAAAAAAAAGAAAGAAAAAATGGAAGGATAAAATTTGAATTTTAGAAGTGAAAAACTTATAAATTACATAAGACTAAAGAAATGATATTGAGAGAAGAAAGGATAGGTTGAGAGGAGGGTAGGGATAGAAAGGAGACATGAAAAAATAAAAAATAAAAATTCTTAAAATTAGTTACTTGAGAATATCTCTCTATATAGGTATACAGAGATGATACTGCTATTAAAGAAGTTAAGCCTAAGAAGGTGTGAATTGCGTAATTAATTTCTGGACTATGTACATAATGGGGGATAAGGTCTAAAAATGTACAACTGGTATATATTTGGGGATGAGCAGAATAGCAATTAAGTCATGCAAGAAAGAATGGAAGAGAGAAAAAAGAAAAGAAAAAACTGACAAAAAGTTCAGAAGAAATTTTTTAAAAAGCACACACACATATGCACCTAAAATAAAAATTATGAGAGGAAAATAAAAAGGATAGATAGAAAAATTTTAAAAATAATTTTTTAAAGGTACAAAAAAGAGTTCTTTGATTTTTTTCTTTTGGAGGGGGGGGGGGGGTAATAGGAAGATCCTGTATATCCCCTGTGTCAGTACCCAGTCTCTTGGTGGAGTCTCTGGTCTGCTAGTGGTGTTTGGTTTTCCTGTGGCTTGATTAGTTTCTTAAGTCAGTTTGTTTGAGCTGGCAGAAAAATGCTCTGTCTTATCCAGGATTTTGTGATATTCTTCCCAGGCTAGTTCAGTGGGAAGGAGATCTGCTTTGATTATCACAAAAGAGGGAGATGGCTGTTTCCTCTAGTTTGGAAATGCTCTGATGAGGGTAGGTTCTGGGTAGAGTTGAGGCCTTTCAGCAAACTCTAGCTTTTCTCTGAGGGGCTAGTTTCTGAGACACTCACAGAACCCAGCCTGGAGCCATTCTCAGGGTTTATGTTTACTGAATTTCAATTGATTTTCTAGGCTGTTGTACAGAGGGGAAGCCTCTGGCTCTATTTACCCAGTGAAGAAAGTCACTGGTCCGGGGGCCGAGCTTCCTTTGTCTGAGCTGGGTGACTTTCCCCTGGGTGGGGCTGAACATGGCTGGTGAGGCTCAGTCGGGCCTCTGTCAGTATCAAAGATGGACATCTCTGGTGTTGGGGGGAGGGGTGGCTTTCCTTCCTCTGCTCCCTGAGAAGGATTGAGGACATCAGGGTTCTACTCATGCCAGAGTCTTGGTTCCTGGGTCGTTTCTGGTCTGCAATCTGTAGGATGAAGATAACTGCTCCTTGTCAGTTTTTGCAGGTGTTGAGTAAAATCTGCTCACCCACTGCTTCTGGCTCCTTTATCCCAGACTCTCTCTGTAGGTATGGTGGCTATGACTGCAGCCGCTGCCACCACAGCCACAGTATCTGCAGCTACTGGCAAATGCTTAGATCAGTCTCCTTGCGTGAATTTTCCGTCTCTGGCCAAACTCTGTACTGTGATGGCACACTTGGTGTGATTCTCTAGGCTAGGACTGTTCACTGGAACACTAAAACTGCTTTCTATGTGAGAACTTGTTTATCCTTCAGCTTCTTCTCCACCATCTTCCTCCGAACTCCATGTTAAACATTTTTAATATGTCTATTCACTATTATTATTTCTTCTTCTGAGAAGTCTCTCTGAAGTCATTAGCTCATTTATTGCTTGGGTACTCCTAACAGTGTTTCTCTGGGAACATCTTTATCCTTTCTTCATTTCTAAAGCGTATCTTTCGTAGGCTCAATATTCTTTGTGGATAATTTACATATATGTTATCTGGAGTACTGTAAAGATTTCTTGCCACATTCTCTTGACTTATATGGATACTATTGAGGACTCAGTTATTAGGGAAATGAGAGCATACCTATATCGTATGAGTCCCATTTCTGTTATAGTTTAGAGAATCTTCCCTGTATATGTATTTCACTTGTGAGATCATGAGACAGCTTGCTATAGATGTGATGGTCAAAAATTTGATTGTCTTTCATGTTAAAGAATAGTACACTATCTTTGTTCACAATTCCTTTTTTGAAAATACTAATGTCAACTTTTGATTAACCTTTTCACACATCTTCATTTTTACAGTGCTCTGTCATATGTGTGGTTCAATTAGATTTTCATCAAAGTCACTATTTTCTTCTGTTTAGAAGACTTCACATATACCTACAGTGTATGTTGAACAACTTAATTCTTTAATTAGTAGTTCCGATGTGCCTTCATTGTTTCCATTTTTGAACAATGTCTGTTGATTTCATTATATGAATTTCTTTAGAATGTGCATGCACATGCACACATGTGCAAGTGTGTGCATGTGCGTGCAAACACACACACACACACCTGGCACTCCAAGACATGAAACAGTAAAATGAAAAGTACTTTGATCATTTTTACTTCTTTCTATTTGTTCCTTTTCATTTTCTCTATCTATCTATCTATCTATCTATCTATCTATCTATCAATCTATCTATCTATCTATCTATCTATAAATTGGGAAGAGAATAGTGAGCACAATATTTTACCATGGTGACCTTGGAATTGGGATTGCATTGTAATTCTTCCCTATAATTTTCTCCTTAACATCCATATTGGATGTTCCCCTCTCCATAATTAGTTCACTAGAGTTGGATGTATACCTTTTGTTTTGCTGAATAAATAAAAATAAAATTCCCTCACATTATATTTTAGCTACTGTTCTGGTTGATATTGCAGGAAGTTGAGTCTGTTAGCATGGCTTACTATATAATCTCTCATAAAGAACATTTTGCTTCTGAAAGTTATTCTTAATTTGTAGATTCATTAGTTAGCCTGACCTGCCATATAAACACATAACATAACTGGGTGACTCAAACACAAGATTTACAGAATATTTGCTGTCTCATCAAAACCTAATGCAATGGACAACAGCTTTTTGCTGTGGTGCATGCAATAGTCGGGGGAAGGGAAGCTGTCTCTCAGCTTAATTAAGTTTCTGAATCTCATTCATGGCATGTTCCTTTCATGTCCTTAACTAATTTTATATACAAACATAAGACATTGCATTCACATTCTATTCCAATTAGGATAATATTTTAACATTCATTAGCAGAAAATCAAGAATTCAATCTATCAAAGACATGTTTTGTAATTCTTTTCCTAAATTTCTATGCTTATTATACAGGCTTATCTTCAAGAACTATCAGTTTGTTTTGACCTTGGCTTTTGCTGTTGAGGAGATCAACAAAAACCCTGATCTTTTACACAACTTCTCTCTGGGATTTGATATGTATAATGTTCACTTCAGAGCTTGGACAATGTTCAAGAATCCCTTCACTTGGCTCTTTGGGAAGTACAGGATTCCAAACTACTCCTGTATGAGAGACAGAAGGTCTATAGCAGTACTGACAGGACCATTAGGAATGACTTCTGACCAAATTGGGACATTGCTGGGACTCTACAGATTTCCACAGGTTAGGGTAGAATGTACAGAAAGATATAAAAATATCTAATATTTCATGTGCTAGAAGAGAATAAAGGAAGAGAATTATGAGCTTATCAAATTTTGTTGCACCAAAGAGTAAGTACCCAAAGATATATAAAGTGGGATGTGTGTGTGTGTTTGTGTGTGTGTGTGTGTGTTCACTGTTCAGAAAAGGAGATGGAAGACTTAGAGCAATAAATAATTTATTGTTTCAAGCCTTATCAATAATTTTCTTTAAAAGAATCAGGGAATGGAAAATGACTTTTCAGTGTGAAGATATGTTGAGCAGTGTACTGGTGACCCACACCTGTATGCTAACTACGTAGGAAACTTTTTAAAATAAGTTTTTATTGGGAAAATACTCTACAGAGAGGTTACAGTTACATGAGCAAGGTAATGAATACATTTCTTATCAAGCATGGTTGCCTCCTCCTTTGTTTTTCCTGTACCATCCCTTCCCTCCCACTTCCACAACTACACTCCCACAACCTTCCCCCCTCCCCCGGTCTCAATTGTAAAGTTCATTTTCCCACATAGTGTCTTATACATCTCATGGTTGAAATGGGTCAACCTGTATCCCTATTTAAACATTTTGTTTTTTCCCTTCCCCTCCCCAAATTATACCAACATCAAATAGAGTGAAAACAGGGGTTATACCATGGGGGAGGGACATACAAAGCAACAAAAAATCACATGGCACCTAATAAATACATTAGAAACAATAGCAAGAAAGAAAAAGCCACTTATGTCCTTATCTTGGGGTTCACTTTGCTTAACTTCATCTTATCTGGTTATATGTACATAGCTTTTGACCTTTTCTACTTATCCCAGACATATACTAGTTATTTCAAATAAGGGAAATCATGGGACCTATGTTGCTTTGGGCCTGGCTTACTTCACATAATATAATTTTTTCCAAGTCTTTCCATTTCCTAACAAATGGGGCAATGTCATTTTTTTCTGATGGGATCATGTGTGTGTGTGTGTGTGTGTGTGTGTGTGTGTGTGTGTGTCTGTGTCTGTGTCTGTGTGTGTCTGTGTCTGTGTGTCTGTGTGTATCACATTTTCTTGATCCATTCATCTACTGAGGGGCATCTGGGTTGGTTCCATCTTAGCTATAGTAAATAATGCTGCAATAAACATAGTTGTGCTGGTAGATTTAGTATGGTCTCATTTGTGATCATTTGGGTAAATGCCCAAAAGTGGGATTGCTGGATCATAGGGGAGCTCTATGTGGATGGAGTCTTTTGAGGAACTTCCATACTGCTTTCCATAGTGGTTGAACAAGTTTACACTCCCACCAACAATGCAGTAGGGTTCCCTTCTGGCCACATTCCCTCCAGCATCTGTTGTTACTTTGTATCTGCAATTAACCAGCAACAAGCAGTAAGTAAGTATGTGGATCAAGTGATTGACCAGTCTTGAGGGGAAAAGCCAAGGAAATGAATGAGGACATGAGTTTTTGCCCCTCTACTGACTTGTAACTGCATACTCATGCACACAGACATGCAAGATACTATGCTGAATGAAGTAAGTCAGGTTCAGATTGAGAAATGTGAAATTTGTTCTGTCATGTGTGAAAGTTAGATTTAAAATATGAACCATGTAATATGAAATAAATATGGCACACATATATATAGCCTCTTACACACACACACACACACACACACACACACACAAATATATATATATATATAAGATATATATATATATATATGAGAAATCTGGTGAAAGTATGGTATACAAGGGGTGAAAGTCCATGCTGTGTCTTATCTAATAAAAATAAACACCAGAGAGCTGAAACATATCTTGTCTGAGTCAAGTAGGTGTTGATGGAAAAAGGCAGAGGAAAATGGAATGGAAGGGTGCAAAAACAACACAATATTCAATATACATGAATGAAAATGGAATTAGGAAAGGTGAGGAGTGGGTGGAGATGACATTGATGGGAAGAATTGATAAAAAAATTATGACAAAAATCAGGAGACATTTAACAGTAAATTCATATATTATACAACAATTGAAAAACAAATTGTTTTTTCAAAACTAAAACAAAACCTACCTTCTGCCTGCTTAAACTTGTTCCTAACATATTTGAAGCCTGAAATTTTGATGGATGATAATCTTCTCATTCATGAAGCATACAATTTTTTTCTCTTTAGCTTACCATGGGGCCTTTTGATCATGCTCTGTGTGACCATCACAAGTTTCCTGCTCTCTATCAGATAGCCCCGAAGGACACATCAATAGCCACTGCCATGGTCTCCTTACTGCTTTATTTCAGCTGGAGCTGGGTAGGACTGTTGACCTCACAGGATGAGAATGGTTCATGGGTTCTTGCTGAATTGAAAGAAGAGATGACCAAGAACAGAGTTTGTGTGGCCTATGAGCTACTGATCTCAAGCAAAGACACATCACGTATATTCAAATTAATGGAAGTTTATAGCAAGATAAATAAATCTTCAGCAAGTGTCCTCATTATATATGGTGATAATGAATCACTACTAGATTTCATGGTGTATATTGAGCAACTTTTAATCAAAGGCAAAGTTTGTATCATGAACTCACAGTGGGATTTAACAATGAGAAGGAAATATTTCATTCTAGGCTCATTGCATGTTCCTCTTATTTTTTCACAACATCATGTAGATGTTTCTGGAGTCACAGATTTTATCAAAGCAGTAAACCCTTCCAAATACCCAGAAGACATTTTTCTTGCTAGAATGTGGCTTCTGTCATTTAATTGCTCATATGCTGACTCTGACTGTGTAACATGGGACAACTGTCCTCAAGACGCCTCTTTGGATTGGTTGCCTAGGTGTATTTTTGACATGACTATGTTTGGAGAAGGTTACAATATATACAATGCTGTGTATGCTGTGGCCCAGGCTCTCCATGAGATGCTTCTTCATCAAACAGAAGTTCACACAATGGGAAATAGAAAAGGAACAGTGCCTTCCCCTGCACAGGTAATTTCATCTTTGTTCAATGGCATACACCATGAGCAAAGGCACTTCCTAGAGCATGTCATTCTATGAAATTAAATGTTTCAGGTGTTTTCCCAAACCCAGGAAATTATTTTCTTTTGAATATTATGAGATCTTATAGACATATATTCAAATGTGTTTCAGAAAAAAAAAACTTGCCAATAACAAAAATAAAATGTATTCCATGATTATGTAAATTATTTTTATTTATACAGAGGCTTGAAATCAGGGCTAGGGTCTTTTACCTGGGTCCCTTGTGACTTAGGATAGCACTCTACAACTTGTGCTATACCAGTACTTCTAGTTTTTTTCTGAGTAATTTATTGGAGACAAGTCTTGTGGACTTGCCACGGACCGGCTCTGTCGGGACGACGGAGGACACCTAGTGGAGGAACTGGAATAGGTGAGGAGATGGCAAACAGCCAACTCACACACAAGAGGAGTGGATGCTGAGTGCGATTTAATGAAGAGGATAACAAACTTTTATAGCAAAAAGTCTCCATAAGAAAGGGCAAAAGGTTACATAATCTTGCTGCAGGGCTTCATTCTTGGGTGGTCACCAGCTGGTCGCCTGAAAGGGCAAAAGGTTCCACAATCTTGCTGCAGGGCGGGTGGTCACCAGCTGGTTGCCTGATAGGCACTTTTTTCCAGCTTATCTCTAAGAAATATAATGGGTTTCGATGTTTGTCACCAACTAACCATTACCTTATTTCTATAGAGGCCTTAACTGTCCCATAAGATCTTTCCTGTTCCTTCTTTAATAGTAAGGTCACGGAGGCCTAGATCTAGCAAGTCTCTTAGTAAATGAAAGAGAATAACAGGAAGTTCTTTCTCCTAAGTAGTTATCTCAGCAATTGCCATACATTCTTTCTGTTCTAGCCGCGCCTACAGCTTCTTGTAAATCTCTTACAGACAATTCCTTCTGCTGAAGTGACATCGTGAAACCCCCAATACTTTTATATTTACTTATGACTTGTCTATTAGCCTCCATAAGAGGGGCTTTCAGGGTAGCACTTAACTCTGGTGAGTTAGTCATATTTTTAAGACACTCATCAGATATTGGAGTCGTCAACACTCTTAAGAAAGAGCTTTGAATAAAGGAACGTTGAGCATGAGTAAGTACAATGAGCAGCAGAAACAGTAAAAGATTAATAGGCACTCTTATACAGTGAAGAAAAGAAAAGCAGAGACACATCTTTCCCAGGGGTTTGCCAGCCTTTCCAGGAGTAGGCCTCTTTGAAGCCCTATTCTCCGAGGTAGACTTCGGTGAAGTCCCAATACTTAGAGATAGGTCTCTATAAAGCCCCATTCTCTGAGGTAGACTTCGGTGAAGTCCGAATACTCAGAGATAGGTCTCTTTGAAGCCTCATTCTCAGGTCTGAAAGCTGGTTTCCCATGCTAAGCAGACTCCACCGGAGTAGGCGTGGCATGGACTTTTCAGCCCAGGCTGGATTTGAATGGCAATCTTCATATACCACCCTCCTGAATAGCTGGGATTACAGGTGTGAACTCACTGTCTTGTGATATCATTTCATTACAGCTAACCTCAATATGCTCATAGCAAATGTTGTGAAAACTTCAAATGCAGTTTTCTCTTAGGAGTTTCTTCAATAATAGCAAAGGAAGACCTGCTGAAAAGAATTTTCATATATTTTATAAATGATCATTTCATTCAACTTTGGTATTAAAAATTTAGCAAGCTCAAAGTATAGACCTTCATAAAAATAGTGCTTATGCCCAGCTGTACCTACACAACTGAGAAGTGTCCCATTCATGTCTATTTACAGCACATTGGTTTCTCTTGGGAAGAAAAGGCCTTCCCTTCCTTTTCTAAATGACCAGAATTCAAAAAGATTATTTTTATTCCTCCATAGATTTTATTTGTGATATTTCATTAGGTACTTCTCCTATTCATGAATTCAGAATCAGAGATTAAAGGCAATTGGAGCTTTTCATAGTTCAGGTTTTCTGTCTTAACTATGTGATGTACTTCACCATAAGATGAAGTATCTCTTTTAGCTGCACCCTTTTCTGAAAAACATCCACTTTTACAATCCTGCTGGAGATAAAGTGATTTTGGATGATGAAAGGAAATTGGATCCAGAGTATGACATTCTGAACATTTGGAATTTTCCAGAAGGTCTTCAATTTACAGTGAAAATAGGAAAGTTTTCTCCATATGTTCTCCATGGTAATCAACTGTCTTTATATGAAGATATGGTAGAGTGGCCCACAGGAACTGCAGAGGTGGGTTGGATCTAATCATAATAATTTTAAGGACAAATACATAAGGAAATATCATCCTTTAAATTTATACCTGAGTGCCAGCCACTTATTCCTATATTCCTAGCTACTCAGATAGCTGTGAATTGAATATCATGATGAAAAGTCAGCCAAAGCAGGAAAGTTTATGAGACTGTTATTGCCAATTAGCCACCAAAAATCTGGAAGTAGATCTGTGACTCAAGTAGTGCAAACTCAAGGCCATTGCTTAGATCTTGAGTTCAAACCAGTCAGATTTAAAAAGCCTTGAAAGTATATCAAGTACACCTGCAGACCATACTGTAGTAAGAGTAGAAATTAACCAGGAAAACACTGAAAATATGCCCATAACATGGAAATTAAATGAATTATTTTTCAGCCATCAATAAATAATTTAATTTAATTAAAATATTCAATTTAATTCAATGATTAATACTCGATTAAATGGTTTGTTTTCAAGCCAAAATTCAAGATGATAACTGCTTTTTGGAACAAATAAAAATGAAAACAATATCAGAATCTACAGATACAGAAAAAGAGGAATGAAATGACACTGTAACTACGTTTGCTGAAATCAGGAGTACAGACACTGTACTAAAGTATCTATGTAAATTGTCAAACTTCTCATTCATCATGTTTGCCAGTAGTGTTTGTAGAGCTATTTGGGAACTCTCCTCTGGATTATTCATTATCTGTTCTGACCCCTGATTATCAAGATTGGGAATTGAGATACCCGAATTTGCCATTTTTCTTGTGTTTTTCCGGCTTACTCTGCCCATGTGAGATGAAGATAGCACCAGTTTTGTGTTAGAACACTATCTTAAGGCAACCATCAACCAAAGTTTGCATTTGTACAGTCAATAGTCTACAGATACAATCTAGTTCAACAGATACATCTATTCCACATCAAACAACTATATGTTAATGGACTTCGAACCCCAGAGAAGAATTTGGAAAACCAGAAATTATTAGGGTTAGGGAGAGATGTGCGTAAAAAATAGGGATAGATTGGTGTGGGGAAAGACTTAAAGAGAAGCTTCTCTGAAGAAGAAAAAAGGATGGCCAATTGAGTTCAAACCCCAGGATCAGCACCAAAAAATTAAATATTTTAAATATTGATTTAGAATATTTTCATAAAATATAAATTATATCTTTCTGGTAGGTTCCCTACACCATGATAAAATACCTGAGGAATCACTTTATGTAGTGGAAGATTTTATTTTCTTCCTTTCTATGGGTGCTACTTTGGCATCTTTTGTGAGAGGAAACTTTGAAGATGTCTATAATAAGACATTCTTCATGGCCACTGAAAGCTTAGGCCTGGGGTTCACATAACCTTATAAAAATTATGTCCTCCTCCTTGCTTTGCCCCATGTCACAGATGAATAGGAGACAAAATACAATGACATGAATTCTCAAAAGTTCCATGGATCACACCTGTAATCCTATCTACTCAGGAGGCTGAGATCAGAGGATCACTGTTCAAAGAGTCTGTGAGACTCTTATCTCCAATAAACCACCAGAAAACCAGAAGTGGTGCTATGACTCAAATGGTAGAGTTCTCCCCTTGAGCTGAAGAGCTATGCTACAGTGCCCAGGCCCACAGTTCAAGCCCCTTGACCAACAAAAGAAAAAAATTAAGTTTAGGCCAAACAGACAAAAGAGAAGTTATTTTTCCAACTATAAGTAGACTGACTTTTAAATTTAATTTTTGTATTACTTTATATTTTCTAGTGTGTATGGTAAAAATGATTTTCCTTCTTTTTGGCGTGATTTAATTGCTGTTCTGGTCATCCTCAGATATGTACCCATCACCAATTATTAGACCTGACCCCACATTGTGTACATACTTAATCCAGAAATTTATTACTCAATCCACAACCTCTTAGGAATAACTTCTTTAATAGCAGTATTATCTCTTAATACCTATATAATTTTCAAGTAAGTAATTTTAAGAATTTATATTTTTTAGTTTTTCATGTCTCCTTCCTTTCCTTCCCCTCCTCTCATCCTATCCTTTTCTTCTGTCAAAATCATTTCTTTAAACTTACATAATTTTTAAGTGTTTCACTTGTTACATTTAAATTTTGGTTTTTCTTTTGTTTTACATCACTCTCCTATCATTCTGTCCAATCCATTTCCCTCTCTGAGATTAGGTCTTGGTTAAATTCCCTCTCCTTTTACCTCTCTACATTCCACTAATCCTATTTTTCCCCACATTTCTTCCTAAATCTAATAATTTCTGGTTTGCCAAATTCTTCTTTGCTGTTCTTAGCCCATTAATCCATAGTTCTTTGATGTTGAATAGATTGTATTTGTTGAACTAGATTGTATCTGCAGCCATTTTGACTGTGCAACTACAAGACTTTGGTTGATGCTTGTCTTAAAATCATATTTTAGCACAAAATTGGAGTTAATTTCATACCAAATGGGCAGAACAAGCCAGAAAAACACAAGAAAAATGACAAGTGCAGGTATCTGAACTCCCACTCATAGTAATAAGGCGACAACAGTTAATGAATAATCCAGAAGAGAGTTCCCAAAAGGCTCTACAAACACTACTGGTAAACATGGTGAATGAAGACATTGAAAACCTGGAAAGGACTCAGTGTGAGCATGATAGGAAAAGGGAGGAGGCAAACCAAAAATTAATACAGGAATCTCATGCGTATGAGGAAGCTAGTCAAAGATTGATACAGGAATTGCGTGAGCAGGTTGAGAACAGTCAAAGGGAAAGACAGGAATTGCGTGAACATGAGAAAGCTAATCAAAGAGTAATACAGTAATTGTGAGAGTGGGATGAGAAGACCAATAGAGGCATTCATTGAATCAATAAACAGACAGCTGAAAGAATTCAGGGAGACCACAAAGGGAATGCTGAATGGAGCCCAACAGAAGGAATGGGAGTCCAAGGAAACCATAACCAATCAACTAAGTGATTTGAGAATGAACACTGAATACCAAATTAAGGAAGTAAAGAAGTTCATACAAGATCTAAAACAAAGCTCCAACAAAGAATTTGAAGATACCAGAGCCGACCAATTAGAAGGAAAAGAATAAAAAACAAAGTAGAAAGTCCTGACAGTAGGTTAGACAATGCAGAAGAACGAATCTCAGAGATTGAAGACAGCCTAGCTATTATAGAGAAAGAACATACAACTATCCAAGACAAATCCAAGAAATATGATAGATCTATTCAATAGTTGGAAGACACCATCAGGAGGCCTAATCTGATGATAATGGGTATACAGGAACACCTAGAAAGGGAAGTAAATGGTCTAGGAAATTTGTTTAACAGGATCCTAGCAGAGAATTTCCCAAACATGCAAAAAGAAAGGCCTATTCAGATACAAGAAGCTTTTAGAACCCCAAATAGACCAGACCAGAACAGGACATCCCACCATCACATTATAATCTGCACAGGATCAATTCAGACCAAGGAAAAGATCCTTAAAGCTGTCAAGGAGAAACCAATTAGAATCACCTCAGATTTCTCAGCAGAGACAATTAAAGCAAGAAGAGCCTGGAATGGTGTATGCCATGCCTAAAAACAAACAACTATCAACCAAGAATACTGTACCCAGCTAAATTCTGTTTCATAACCGGAGGTCAAATAAAAGCATTCCATGGCAAAGAAAAACTGAAACAATATATCTCCACCAAACCAGCCCTACAAAAGTTACTTAAAGATGTCCTACACATAGAACACCAACAAGACCACAACAAAGGCCAAGAAACAGCACCCAAACTGAGAATCCAAGAACCATAGGAAGAACTCAGTTGTCACAGCACCCAAGAAGGTGTGTAACAAGGCAGGAAATACCAAACACCTCTCAATCCTAACTCTCAACATTAATGGATTTAACTCTCCAATTAAGGGACATAGATTGTCTAGTTGGATTAAAAAGCAAGACCCTTTTATCTTCTGCCTTCAGGAATCACACCTTGCCCATCAAAAAAAAAAAAAACAACACATTTTGAAAATGAAAGGCTGCAAAATCTACCATGCAAATGGTCTCCATAAACAGGCGGAAGTTGCAATCGTAATATCAGATAAAATAGACAAAATTAAAATTAGTGAGAAGAGATAAAGAAGGTAGCTACATACTAATTAAGGGATCTCTCCTCCAGGAGGATATTACAAATCTAAATACCTATTCATCAAACAACAGAGCACCCAACGTTATCCAAGAAACTCTACTTTCTCTCAAAGTTCACATAGATCCAAAGACATTAATTGTTGGGGACACTAACACACCACTATCCCCACTAGATAGATCAAATCGGCAAAAACTCAACAGAGAAACTGCCGAATATAACACCCAGCAGCATTAGAATACAGATTTTCTCAACAGCACATGGAACTTCCAAAATAGACCACATTTTAAGTCACAAATCAAACTTGTCCAAATTCAGAATCATTGAAGTTATAGTTCCATTCTCTCAGACCACAAGGGAATAAAAGTAGAACTCAATACCAAAAGCCATCAAAGAAAGTCCTGTAACACATGGAGACTGAACAACACACACGAGTGAGTCATGGAAGAGATTAAAAATGAAATTCAAATGTTCATGACATTCAACAAAAATTAACACACAAAATACCAGCTCCCCTGGGACACAGCAAAGGCAGTACTCAGAGGCAAGTTTATAGCTCTGAATTCCTACGTCAACAAATTGGACATATCTGAAACAAAAAAAAAAATTTTTTTGCAATGGCTGATTATTTATAATTTTACAGAGCAATCAGGGATTATCTATATATAAAGTCCACATTCAGGCAATGTTTAAAGAAACTAAAGGAGTGATTTACATGAGAATCTGTCAGTGCCAGCTAATCGGGGTCAAGTATTATAGTTTTTAAGAAGTAGCTATTCGGGGTCTTTTTTTTGTTCCATATGAATTTTTTGAAACCAAAATTTTTATAATTTTTTATTATGAACATACTGTATGGAGGGGTAACAATTACATGGACAAGATAATGAGTACATTTCTTATCAAGCATTGCAGCCTCCTCCTTTGTTTACCCTTCACATCCCGTCTCACCCTCCCCCCCCCCCCCCCCCCCCCGCCTCCCACCCAATCCTCACACACACCCTCGCCCCCACCAAAGTTTTAAAGCTCGTTTTCGACATGACAACTTGTACTTCTCATTGTTGCAACAGGCCCAACTGTATCATTATTTAAGCTACTTGTTTTTCCCCTTCCCCTCCACAAATTATACCGACATCAAATACAGTGAAAGCAGGAGTTATACTGTGTGGGAGGGACATACAAAGCAACAAAGAAATAATCTTATAAATGCATTAGAAACAAATGCATGAAAGAAAAAAGAACATTTAAATACACATCTAAGGGTTCATTTTCCTAACATCACATTATCTGACCTTTTCTACTTGACTCATACATATACTAGATATTGCAAATAAGGGAAACCATGGGACTAATATTTCTTTGGGCTTGGCTTACTTCACTTAACATAATTTTTTCCAAGCCTTTCTATTTCCTAACAAATGGGGCAATGTCATTCTTTCTGCTGGAGGCATAGAATTCCATTGTGCATATACACCACATTTTCTGGATCCATTCATCTACTGAGGGGCATCAGGGTTGCTTCCATATCTTAGCTATGGTAAATAATCTCCCAACTAACCTGCAAAGAGCCAGGCTGGAAGCATGGTTCAAGACTCTTATCTCGCACCAGCAAACACTGCAAGTGGTGCTGTAACTCAAAGTGGTTCAGTGCTGGCCTTGAGCAGAAGTGCTCAGGGACAGTGCCCAGGCCTTGAGTTCAAACCTTGAATACCAACTGGGACAAGCCATCCCAGCAATGAGCACCTAGACTCAGCCAGTCTGTGGAACAAGGGACCATGGAGAGGAGTAAGAGATGATATCACATCAGCTACTTTGTGCCTGCCCTTTCAAAATTAACCAGAGCTGGAAGGTCAATAGAAGTAAGAAGCCTGCCCATCCAATGTCTATACCTGTCTACCTATTAACAACAGGAATTTATATTCTTGCCTTTGTCACTTGGCTTCTCCTCTACCTAGTCACCAGATGTCAGAAGTAGCTAGAGACATTTCTACCAACATTTTTCAGCCCCAAGTCCTTCCTCTTGCCATTTATTTGCTCTCTAGTATTTTTTTCCAGCCCCTCAATGCCTCATGAGACTTCTCCAGACTTCATCTAAGGACTCACGCCACCAAGGGACAGCTGCTGCAGGCTGCCTTCTCTGGAAGGGAACCAAATTCCAGCCTTTTACCCCTAATGTCAATGCCCCTTGTCAGCAGGAAGTAGCCAGAGAGAATCCACGCCCTATTTCATGATTATTAAAAGGCTGGAATGTAAGGTCCGCTCCTGGATGGCCAGCAGACTCCACCCTCCTCACAGCAAAGTCTCCACCCAGTACCTGCATTACCTAGGCAACTGGCACACCTGGAAGAGGTCACATCTGCATCCTCTGAGGTCACATCTGAATTTGATGAGGCCACACCTTTCTCCACCCATACCCTACATAATGCCTAGCCCAGGCCCAGATGCCCTCTTTTCTAGCGCTTTTCTCTTTTCTAGCCCTTTTCTCTCTCTTTCCCAGCTCTGTCTCTTTCCCAGCTCTTCCAGCTCTCTTTCCCAGGTCTTTCCCCACCACTTGGAGGACCAAGACAGCCTGGTGCCAGCCGGAACGATGAATAAACCTACCCCTTACTCGAAAAAAATAAAAAGAAATGTAATAACAACAGATTCTGGAGATGTTGCCAAAAGGGAGCCCTACTGTATTTTTGGTGGGAGTGTAAACTTGTTCAATCACTTGAAAGCAGTATGTAGATTCCTCAAAAGACTCCACATAGAGCTCCCCTATGGCCCAGCAATCCCATTTTTGGGCATTTACCCGAATGATCACAAACAAGACCATACTAAATCTCCCAGCACACTATGTTTATTGCGCATTATTTACCATAGCTAAAATATGGAACCAACCCAGATGCCCCCTCAGTACATGAATGGATCGAGAAAAAGTGTACATATATATATATATATATATACAGAGAGAGAGAGAGAGAGAGAGAGAGAGAGAGAGAGAACAGAATTCTATGCTTCCATCTACCTGCATTTTTAAAATACATATGTGATGTATATTTTCTGATACCTAGTGCATGATTGTGAACAAGTGTAACATAATACACATCCAGCAATACAGCCTTGTGTAGAGTATGTCCACTGCCCTGAAGTAGCTCTGTTCTCCAGGCTGCTGAAGCCTCTGCATGGAAATTTGAGTCTAACATATGTTAACAACTTGAAAACATAGAATTGGTTTGATAGTGATTTAGGTTTGTGATATAGAAGAATTTCCTCTACTACACCATGTTCTCAACCCAGTGCAGCATGAAAATGTCTTCATCTATGCTTGCATGGATTAAAATAATTACCTATTTGAAAGTAAAATTTGAGAATGTAAAAGTAGAACTCAGTTTCAGCATATTGACTCTGAGTTATTCACATGTAATTGGTAGGTTCCAAAATACTGCTTCCTCAGGAAATAGAAAACAGCTGAAATTCTGGAGGCCTCTTCGCATGGAATTCATGTTGAAAGCTGCTGTTATCAAGCACTAAGATTCTATGGTTGGTGTTTACATTGTGTGTGGGAATCGACCCTTTGGGTGTGATGCTCTCAAAACTTTAGTTGACATCTCACAGGCATAGACTTTTTGTGGACATTTCACCATACATAAGACCTGGTGTCTTCTGAGACAATCCAGTTGCATCATCCCAAATGGCTTTCATACAGTTTCTTGACACAGATGATGTATAAAATACATCCTAGATAACTCCATCTCTGGGGCCTCAGTATCTGTGGTCTTGGATGAAATCATACCTCCTGGGGTGAAGAATGCAAATGGACAAACATGTTTTCCAGCTCATGTTTTTCTTCTGAATGAAGGCCACAGATGTAGACCCCAGGGAATACTTATACACATTACTTCTGGAGACTCACAAGAGGATTTGATGAAAGGAGAGCTATACGGTAAATCTCTGTCAATATAAAAGGCACACATGCATATATAAAAAGATACATGAATATACAGGCGTAATATGTGGGCTTCACTTCCTGCCAGAATTGTAGTTGGGAGATGCTTCAGGGATGTATCTTTTGACTTTCACATTCCTTCTTCTCCAGTTTCCTCTCCTGGTCAGGTCCTTGGCTGGCACTAGCTGCTTCTCTACTATGAAACACCAAGCACACATGGATGGAGATGTGATGATTGCTGGTTTTTTCCCTCTGAACAGTTTGGGAATAGATCACAATAATAACTATGCTTCCAGACCAGAAGAGAACACACGGTAGGTAACTTACCATTTTATTCCCAATTACTGTCTTATTCTGAGGATGGGCAAAGGCTAAGGAAACTCTGGGTGCACACATCAATGTTCTCTGTCCCTCTACACTGACCTCCAACCCTATTGTACCAGGAGCACTGCAGTTTCATTATTTTGACTTACATCTTCTGCTGAGTGATTTTATGCCTGCAAGTAGGAGAGGACTCTATTTCCTTCCATGTAGCTTCTCCCTTACATATCAGTAAATTCTTCATTTTACACCACCATGCTGTATCTGCTCCATTTCAGATGTCATTTAAGAAAATGAAGTGATATCACCCAGAATCACTGGTATGAGATCTGTCCTAAAAGTCTGCAACCACATTTTCTTCCTGCCTACGTCAGTAGGGTGAGAAATTTTCTTTTGTAACACCTGTATTTTGAGAACATGGATAAAATTTATTGTAGCCTGGTGGCTCATGCTTGTTAACTACTCAAGCTGCTGATATCTGAGGATCAGTATTTGAAGCCAGGCCAGGCAGGAACATCTGTGAGACTTTTATCACCAATTAACCAGCCAAAAGCCAGAAGTGAATCTGTGGCTCAAGTGACAGAATGTTAGCCTGGAGCAAAAAAGCTTAAGGACACTGTCCAGGAACTGATTTTATGCCCATGGACTGTCACACACACATACACACACATTTTTACTGTAGAGAAGTAGTTACTGTTTCAAACTAAGCCTTGTGTCATTATTTTATGTCAGTTATGCTGCACCACCTATGACTTACCAGGCAGGTTAGCATTGTAAGATCACTTAGTGTGCCTAAGTGTCCACACTTTTGTGTACCCAAGGTGAGTTCTATTTTACTTGTGTTCATGCATGTTCTTGACACAATGAGCCTCACTAATAAAAGGTGGTATGGGAAAAAAGTAAAGAAAAGAAAAATGACTTACAGAACTTCAAGAAATTCTAGCAAACTGTCAATTCCTATTGCAAGAGAAAATGTCATTGTGTCTATCATTTGCACTTGTTTATAAGGACTGGTGTGATAAGAAGACCCTGAGATAGCTACCCACAATTGAGAGCATTGATCCCAGGATAGCAGTTACTCTCTTCTGTTCTCTACAAGATATATGGCCTTATCTTATATGTCTCTGGTGTGTTTATCTTTCTTAGTTTTGTGCTGGCCCTGGGAACTCAGGGCCTGAGCATTATCCCTGAACAATTTTGCATAAAGCAAGTGCTGTAGCACTTGAGCCACAGCTCCACTTCTGGCATTTTTGGAAGGTTGAATGGAGATAAGAGTCTCACAGACATCCCTGCCCAACTGGCTTCAAAACACGATCCTCAGATCTCAGCCTCCTGAGTACTTCAGACTACAGGCAGCTGGCCTAGTGGCTAATGCCTGTAATCCTAGCTGCTCTTTGAGGCCTGAGGATCACAGTTCCAAGCCAGCCTGGGCAGGAAAGTCTGTAAGACTTTCATCTACAATGACCACCAGAAAACCGGAAGTGGCTCTGGGGCTCAAGTGGTAGAGCACTAGCCTTGAACTAAAGAGCTCAGGGACAGCTCCCAGGACCATAGTTTAAGTCCCATGATCGAAAAAACAAAACAAAACAAAATAATGAGAGTACAGCCTGCTTTATCTTATTATTAGTATTCCCCACTATTTACCCAAGTTCAGCTGATTTTCATTCCCTTAATTTCCCTAAATATATTTGAGTATTTAGATACTGTGCTAATATAGGCATATTGAGTACTTATGTTTCAGCTAATCAATGTTTCTTTACTATCAACAGATGTAAAGTCTGGTCTGGGTTAGTAACATTTTATGTATGCTATTGACTACATATAGCAATATTTATCCACCAAGCTTTTCTTGCAGATAAATAGAGCATCACAATTCCACATGAGTAACTGAGAGATTTGACTCAAGTTACTCTCACTGATGTAATGGTGATGTTTACCAATTTTTATACACTATATTCTTTTTTATTTTTTTATTTTTTATGATGAAAATACTGTACAGAGGGGTTACAATTACATGAGCAAGGTAATGAGTCCATTTCTTATCAAGCATTGTTGCCTCCTCCTTTGTTTCCCCTTACCATCCCTTCCCATCTCCCCTCCCCATCCCCACCTCCTGCACCTCCCAGTGCCAAAGTCGTAAAGTTCGTTTTTCGACATAACATCATGTATATCTCATTTTACACTGGGTCAGCCTATATCGCTATTTAAAATTTGTTTTTTCCCTTCCCCTCCACACATTATGGCAACATCAAATACAGTGAAAACAGAGTTATACCGTGGGGGAGTAACATACAAAGCAACAAAAAAAATCATCTTATAAATCATCTTATAAATATGTTAGAAACAATAGCAAGAAAGAAAAACAATTTGAGTTCTTATCTTGGAGTTCATTTCACCTAACATCAACTTATCTGACCATTTCTGCTTTCTCAGACATATACTAGTTATTGCAAATAAAGGAAACCATGGGACCTATGTTTCTTTGGGCCTGGCTTACTTCACTTAATATATTTTTTCCAAGTCTTTCCATTTCCTAACAAATGGGGCAGTGTCATTCTTTCTGATGGAGGCATAGAATTCCATTGTGTATTATACCACATTTTCTTGATCCATTCATCTACTGAGGGATATCTGGGTTGGTTCCATATCTTAGCTATGGTAAATAATGCTGCAATAAAAATACTTGTGCTGGTAGCTTTAGTATGGTCTTGTTTGTGATCATTCGGGTAAATGCCCAAAATCTTGTGCCAAGTTCCTGGTTCATATTATAGTTCCATACAGCAGGTTGTATACTTTGATTATATTCAAACACCCTTTTATGAACACATTTTATATCTTGTCACACATCTTTTTTTCTCTCCAATATCTCTCATTTCTTATGTCATTTTCACCTTTCTGAGGTAGCTACAATTGAGCCACTGGTGATTGGCTTGCTTTGCATTCTTGGTTGGCTTTTTCTCTGAAAGATGACAGTCTACCACTTGAGCTTCATATCCATTTCTAGCTTTTTGGCTAGAAGGCTTTGCCTCAGGATCCTTAGCTCTCATCTCCTGTTAAGTTAGCATTACAGGCACAAGCTACCAGTAGAGGTCATTTTAATTTCTTGAGGAATCTCCAATCTTTCATTTTTATATACCATCACCAAAACTACAATTTCTATCTGGGTTGATGGGTAACTATTGGGTGACCTGATTGCAAAAATCGTTTAACATTTTTTGTTTACTGATTTGCATCTGTACCTTTTATTTATTTATTTATTTATGTGGTCTGTCATCCGGTTTGAACTCTAGGCCTGGATGCTGTCCTTCAGCCCTCTTGAGCCACAGCACCACTTCCAGTTTTCTGGTGGTTTATTGGAGATAACCCCTCTTTTCACTGTATTTGATGTCGGTATAATTTGTGGAGGGGAAGGAGAAAAACAAATCGTCTAAATAGGGATATAGGTGGACCCATTGCAACAATGAAATGTACAAATCGTTATGTCGAAAACGAACTTTGGTGGGGGGGGAGCGGGGAGGATTGGGTGGAGGGGCGGGGGGAGGATGAGAAGGGATGGGAAGGGGAAACAAAGGAGGAGGCTAAAATGCTTGATAAGAAATGCACTCATTATCTTGCCCATGTAATTGTAAACTCTCTGCATAGTATTTTCACAATAAAAAATAAAATAAACTAATTTGCAATCCTGAAAAAAAAAGAGTCTCACAGACTTTCTGGCCTGGGCTGGCTTTGAACTGTTATCCTCAGATCTCAGCCTCCCGAGTAGCTAGGCTTACAGGCATGAGCCAGTGACACCTGGCTATAAGTATAATGTCATCTTCAAAAAGGGATGGTTTTACTTCTTGCTTCCCTATTTGGTTCCTCTAAATGTTTTTCTCTTGCTTACTGCTATTGCTGGGAAATCCAATACTATGTTGAAGAGGAATGGAGAGAATGAAATTCCTTGTCTTGTTCCTATTTTTAGGGAAAATCGCTTTACTTGTTCACCAATGACCATAATACTGGGTGTAGATTTATCATATAGAGCCTTTATTATATTGAGGAATGTTCCAAGTATTCCTAGCTTCTCCAGAGTTTTTATCACAAAGAAATGTTGGATCTTACCAAAGGCTTTTTAATGCATTGATCAAGATGATCATGTGGTTCTTGCACTCGCTTCTGTTGATGTGTTGTAATATGTTAACTGACTTACAAATGTTAAACCAGATTTGCATCCTTGCAAAAAAAATCCAGTTTGTTCATAACATATGAATTTTCTCATTAGTGTTTGGATTCTACTTACAAATATTTTGTTGAGAACTGTGCATCAATGTTCATCAAGGAGATAGATCTGAAGTTCCCTTTTCTCATTGTGTCCTTATCTGGTTTCAGGATAAGTAGAGTGCTTGCTTTGTAGAATGAATAATGTTCTCTCACTTTCTATTTCATTGAAGAGTTTGAGAATAATTAATAATTCTGCTTACGGAATTAGGCTGTAAGACATCAACTCCTGGGCTTTTTCAGGAAGGGAGGTTTTTGTTTTTTGTTTTTGTCAGTCATGAGTCTACTTTGGGACTCATTGCTGTCCTTCAGCTATTCAGCTCAAGGATAGTGCTCTAGCACTTAAGCTACAGCACCACTTCTGTTTTTCTGGCAATTTATTGGAGAGAAGAGTTTCACGGGCTTTTCTGCCTGGGCTGGCTATGAACCGTGATTCTCAGATCTCAGCCTCCTGTGTAGCTAGGATTACAGGCATGAGCCACCAGCGCCTAGCAAGGGAGGGTTTTTAATAACAATTCAATCTCATTGTTTGTGATTGGTCTGTTCATTTATTTTATTATATACACTGGTTTTATTTTTTATTTTTAATATATATTTTTATTGTAGATATACTGTACAGAGACATTACAGTTATATGAGCAAGGTAATTTTGATATACAAGAAGGTTATGGTTACATGAGTTTGTGATGGGTAATGAGGATGATTCTTTTTGAGGTATTTCTCTCTTTCCATCCCTCTCTCCCAGGTTTTCCATCCTGTGCTCACTCACAAATGGCCAGTTCATTTTCCACATAGTGTCTAGTGAGTATCACTGTTGTACTTGTTCATCTTTGTTCCATCTTTATGAGCCCTCCCATACTTTCCCAAAATCAAACAAGAGAAAAGGTAAAGCGAACAAGAGACAGAAACCATGTCAAATAAAAATGCCTTCTATTTCCTTTACTTGAAGTTCATTTCTTTGGAGTGGGGTAATTTTTTAAGCTCTCTATATAATTCAAGTATGAGGCCTTTTTTAATATGAATGAAATTTTTTCCCATTTTGTGGGCTCTTTATCTTGTTAGCCATGTCCCTTGCTATGCAAAAACTGTTCACTTTGATACAATCCCATTTATACAGAATTTCTTTGATTTGTTGTCATTCTGGATCATTGTATACAAAAATTAGCCCCATTCATAGATAGCTTAGCATTTCCCTTACCCCTACCTGTAATATTTGCACAGTATCTTACCTTACATTGAGGTCTTTGATCCTAGAGATGAGTCCGGTGCAAGGTGTTCTATGGGTGTCTAGCTTCAGATTTCTGCATGTAAATACCCAATTTTGCCACCACTATTTGGGTAAAGGTTATCTATCTTCCAAGCTCTGTTTTTGGCACGTTATCAAATATTAGATGGTAGCAGTTAGGGAAACAGAGGTACAGCTATGTGTTGGTCCAATTTCTAGTCTAGTCTAAAGAATCTTTATATGCATTTCACTTGTGAGAGCTTGATCATAAGACAGATTGGTGTAGATGTCATAGTCAAAAATTTGATTATCTTTCATCTTTAGGCCTGTTGCTTTGTACTTTTATCTACTTTTGCTTTTTTAAAATTACTGTCGTCAACTTTTAACAAATCCTTTTTCACAAAACTTCATTCTTCTTCATTCTTACTTATGCGTATTCCTCCAAATGTACTTGTTCAGTTATATTTTCTTCAAGCTCACTATTTTCTTCATTTAGAAGACTTCACAAACATGATAGGTTTTCATTCTGATCATTTCACATATATCAACAGTATATATTGAGCAGGTTAATCCTTTCATTAGTATTTCCAATGTGACTTCATTGTTTGTGTTTAAACAATCCCAGTTGATTTCATTACATTAATTTCTTTAGAATATGCCCACATGCACGAGTGCTACACACACACACACACACACACACACACACACACACACACACACCCTGGTATTCACAGAAAGGACACAGAGAAAGAAAGAACAGTACTTTGATCCTCTTTATTTTGCTCTACTGGATCCTTTTTAGTTTCTCAACCTAAATATAATGGGAATAGAGGTGGAGTTGCTGGAGCTGGATTTGAATGTAAAGCTTGCTTACAATTCTCTCCTCAACCCTCATGTCATGGGTTCCTCTCTCCATAATGAATTCCTTGGAATTGGATGCATCCCTTTTATTTTGGTGCATAAAAAATACAATTCCCCCACCTAGCATTTGAGCTCTTGTTCTGGTTGTTATACCAGTAAGAGCTTTTCAATATCCTGGATCTGTGAGCACAGCTTACAATAGAATCTTCCATAAATAAGATTTTACTTCTGAAAGTTGCTCTTAAATTGAACATTCATTAGTTAGGTTGACCTTCCATCTGAACACATAACAAAAACTGGATGATTCAAAACACAAGATTTATTTTTAGCACAGGTGTAGCAAGTTGCCCTAAGACAGTGGCAACAGAATATTTCCTGTCTCATTAAAACCTAATCCAACAGCCAACAGCTCTCTGTTCTGGTGCATGTAGAAGTAGGGAAAAAGCAAACTCTCTCTTGGATTAAATAAGTATCTGAATCTCATTCATGACATATTCTCTTCATATCATTACCTAATCATATATACAAGCACAAGAAAATACAACCTAACTGAGAGTAATGTTTTAACATATTGATTGGTAAAGAAACAAGGATTTACTGCACCCAAGTCATAAGTTTTTAAATACTCCTCAATTTCTATGCTCATTATGCAGGTTTATCTTCAAGAACTATCAGTTTGTGTTGGCCTTGGCTTTTGCTATTGAGGAGATCAACAAAAACCCTCATCTTTTAATTAACTTGACTCTGGGATTTGAAGTCTATGATGTTCAAATTAGAGCTTGGACTATGTTTAAGAATCCCTTCATTTGGCTCTTTGGGAAGTACAACATTCCAAACTACTCCTGTATGAGAGACAGCAGGTCTATAGCAGTACTTACAGGACCATTAGGAATAACATCTGACCAGATTGGAACATTGCTGGGACTCTACAGATTTCCACAGGTGAAAATAGAGGGTAAAAGGATATAAAAATGTCTAATATTTCATGTGTTAGAAAAGAATGATAGGAAGAGACTAGATTTACGAACCTATCAAATTTTTGTGGTATCAAAGAATAAGTACTCAATAATGGTAGGATCTTTAGATATAGATATAAATATATAGATATAGATATTTTCATTGTTTCAAAAAGGATACGGAAGAGTTAGAGCAGACAAGTAGATGATTTACTGTTGCAAGCCTGACCAACAATATTCTTTAAAAGAATTAGGAAACGGAAAATGACTTTGCAGTGTGAAGATATGTTGAGCAGGGTACTGATGGGCTACTCCTGTAATTTAGACTATTCAGGAAACTTGTATCTGCAATTAACCAGCAACTAGCAGAAAGTGAATTAATGGCTCAAAGTGGTAGACTCATCATGAGAGAAAAATCCACCAAAGTGCATGAGGCCATGAGTTTGTATCCCTCTACTTGCATGTATGTGCAGTTGCTCTCTCTCTCTCTCTCTCTCTCTCTCTCTCTCACACACACACACACACACACACACACAAGATATTATATTAAATGAAATAAGTCAGGCTCAGATTGGGAAATTGGAAATGTGTTCTCATGTATGTGAGAGCTAAAGCTAAAATATGAACATGTAAAATGAAATAAATATGAAACACACACATAGCCTCTTATGTGTATACCTGATCAATCTGACTAAAGCATTGTATACATATGATGGTGGAACTCCAGCCTGTGTTCTATCTACTTACAGTAGAAAAAGGAAACACAAGAAAGCTGAAGCATATCTTGTCTGAGATGGGTGGATGAAGATGAGGAAAAACATGAGAGGAACAAGGAATGGATGAGTGTGGAAAACAACTTAATATTCAATGTACATATATGGAATTAGAAAACTCAGGAAGTGGGTGGGGTTGATATAGATGGGAAGAGTTGATAAAAATTAGTGACAAAGATAAAGAGACATTTTATAAATTCATATGCTGTACAACTCCTCTAGGGCAAATTATTTTTCTAAAGGAAAATTAAACCTATATTCTACATGCTTTAACTGCCTTCTCACATATATCAAGACTTAAATTTTGATGAATGGCAAGCCTCTAATTCATAAAGCATCCAATTTTGTTTCCCTTCAGCTTACCTTTGGGTCATTTGTTCATGTCCTGAGTGACCATCACAAGTTTCCAGCTCTGTATCAGATGGCCCCAAAGGACACATCAGTAGCCACAGCCATCGTCTCCTTACTGCTTCACTTCGGCTGGAACTGGGTGGGACTGTTGAATTTACAAAATGAGAATGATTTGTGGGTTCTTGCTGAATTGAAAGAAGAGATGACCAAGAACAGAGTTTGTGTAGCCTATGAGCTAGTGATCTCTAGCCAATTAATATCACATATATTCAAAGCCATGGCAGGTTATAATGAGATAAATAAATCAGCAAATGTCCTCATCATACTTGGTGATAATGATTCACTAATAATTTTAATAATAGGTATTGAGCAACTTTTAACAAATGGCAAAGTTTGTATCATGAACTCACAGTGGGAATTTGCCCTGAAAAGAAGATATTTCTTGTTAGGTTCACCGCATGTTCCTCTTATTTTTTCACACCATCATACAGATGTTTCTGGATTCACAGATTTTGTCAAGGCAGTTAACCCTTTCAAATACCCAGAAGATATTTTTCTTGCTAGGATGTGGTTTCTCTCTTTTAATTGCTCAGCTGCTGTGTCTGACTGTGTAGCCTGGGACAATTGTCTTCATAACGCCTCTTTGGATTGGTTGCCTGGGCATATTTTTGACATGACTATGTCTGGACACAGTTACAATATATACAACTCTGCATATGCTGTGGCCCATGCTCTCCATGAAATGCTTCTTCATCATATAGAAGTTCAAACAATGGGAATTAGAAAAGGGATAGTACCTTTCCATGCACAGGTAATTTCATCTATATTGGATGGCATGTACAATTAGCAAAGGCACTTCCTGAAATATGTCTTATTCTATGAAATTAAATATTTCAGATGCTTTTGACAAACCCAGGAATTTGTTTACATTTAAATGTCTATGAGGTACTTTAAACCTGGGATCATATGTTGATAAGATAACACTGTATAAAGAATAAAGTGTATTCTATGATTTTGTAAATTGATTTTTTTATTGCTGCCTCTGGACTTGAGTTTAGGGATGAGTGCTGTCTCTGGGTCTCTTTGTGCTCAAGGATAGTGTTCTACCACTTGAGGCACACCAATACTTCTATCTTTTTCAGAGTTTATTGGCAACAACTTTCATGGACTTTTAAGCCCAGTCTGGATTTGAAGCTCAAATCTGTCCCCTGAGTAGCTTGAATTAAATCCATGAGCCTCTGGCAGCCAGCTTATGAGTTTGATTAGTACAAATATCCTCAACATTCCATAGCTAATGTTTAGAAAATTGTAAATTCAGTTTTCCCCTATACATTTCCTTAGAAATAGCAAAGAATGACCTGCTGAACGGAATTTTCCATATATTTTTCATCTAGTTTCATTCAATTTTAGAAATAATTTAGCAAGCTCAAACTACACACATTCATTAAAAAAAAGTCCTTGTGTAAAACTGTAACTAGACAACTGAGAATGTTCTCATTCATGACCATGTCATATTGGTTTCTCTTGAAAAAAAAGATTGTACTTTTTTTTGGAGTGACGTGAGTTCAGAAAGATTATTTTTATTCATCCATAGGTTTTTTGGAGTTCCTGCAGTAGTTGTTAGTGCTGTTCTTAAATTCAGAATAAAAGATTAAAGGAGATCAGGAACTTTTCTTTTTTAAAAAATTCTTTTCTTGTGCAGAGAGGTTACACTTTCATCAGTAAAGTAATTAGTACATTTCTTGTGAACATTTTTACTTTCTCCTTTTTTGCTCCTACTATCCCTTCCCTCTCCCACCTTGCCTGCAGCTTTTCTTAATTCAAATTTTCTGCCTTATTTCTGGGATATACTTCATCATAACATGATTTATCTCTTCAGCTACTCCGTGTTCTGAGGAACATCCAGTTTTCCAATCCTGTTGGAGAGCAAGTGATTTTAGATCAGAAAAGTAAATTGGAGCCAGAGTATGACATTCTGAACATTTGGAATTTTCCAGAAGGTCTTCAACTGGAGGTGAAAATAGGAAAGTTTTCTCCATATGCTCTCCATGGTAAACAACTGTCTTTATCTGAAGATATGTTAGAGTGGGCCATAGGAACTACAGAGGTAGGTTGGCTCTAATCATAATGATTTTTGAGAACATATATGGAAGAAAAGTCATCCTTTCAATTTATACCTGGCTGAATGTCAACAACTTTCTCCTACAATCCTAGCTACACAGAGAGCTGTGTATCACAGTTTACATCTGGACAAGCCAGAAAGTCTGTAAGACTCATCTCCAATTAACCACCAAAAATCTGAAAGTGGAGCTGTAGCTCAAGTAGTGGAATGATAACTTTGAGCAAAACATGTTCAAGGCCAGTGCCTAGATTTGAGCTCAAGCTCCAGGATCAAAACTAAGAAAAAAAATAAATACCTTCTAACTTCTTGGTTCAGAATATTGTCATAAGTTATAGACAGGAGTTTTCTACGAGGTTTCTTATTGTTGTAAACTACCTGAGGAATCACTTTATGTGGTGGATAGCTTTGTTGTGTTTCCATATGTAGAGGTTTCATTCAATGGTTAGTTGACCTGCTATTGAGGAATCTTTGCTGAAAAGAATCATTGAAGGCGCCTGTATCAAGATTCATTCTTCATGGCCTCTAGAAAAATAAAAGGAAAATGTGTTGGGCCTATAAAATTGAAGTGATCATCCTGGCTTTTCCTCATATCACAGATGAGTAGAAGACAATATATAATGACATGAATTTAAGAAAGTTCTGTAGGGTTGTAAACTAGGACTTACTTCCTCACCATCAGTTTCATGCTTTTCAAGATCCCATATGGTTCTATAGTTCAACAGGCTAGAAATCATGGTTGTAGCACATAATTCCTTAGGAAATATGGGATATGGAATCCATAACACAATTCAATTAATTGACTGCACTTAGTTACATAAAAACATTATGTGTAATAATTTGATTCTTTAAAACAATGGAATTTTTTGGAGTGTTAGCTATGTAAGTTTGAAGAGTTACTGGCATACTTGATTTTCCTCAGACTCCTCGCTCTGTCTGCAGTGAGAGTTGTGGGCCTGGATTCAGGAAGTCTCCTCAGGATGGACAGGCTGCCTGTTGCTTTGATTGTACCCCTTGCCCAAAGAATGAGATCGCTAATGACACCGGTAAGTCCATGACTTACAAATACATTTTCATCTCTCCTCAGTTTTCCTCAATCAACCAAGTCAATGCAAAACTTGTGCATTATGATTACAGAGCCCTTTTTCCTTCTCTCTGTTAATAACTTAATTTTGATACGTGGTAGTATTGCTACTTGAAATGTGATAGATCATGGCATTGAATTACATATTTTAGCGATATTTTCTACTCTATTGCAGGCAAACTTAGCTACAGATATTCCTCGTATCACTAAGGGTTAAGACAAGTGTAAACCCTAACATGAAAGGAAACAACTCTTGTTAAGACAGTGCTTACATTTAAAACATTACAATTTTTCACACAGGAAACATATATCTTTCACATCTATATTTCTCTCCCTAGAACTGTTTGTGACACAGAATAAGTATTCAGAAAGGTGGATTCACTTTAAGAAGTGAGCATGACTATAAGCCGTCCAAGAGTGGTTTCTCTACTCCACAGATGAAGTGGCCAGAAAAATAGAATGCCATGAATTCAAGGATATGCCACAGGGAGAAAATTAATGTTTTAGAAAGATATGTTGAAAATTGTAAGCGTATTATTTATGTTTTTCAACTGGATTTCAAAACAAGGCAGTTCTAACTATTAGTAGGTGATAGCACAAAATGTAGAAAATCATTAAGAGATAAGAATGCCCCAAATGGCACATTACAAACACATTTGATAACTGAAGGAAATAAAAAGTTGAAGAAAAATTCCAAATAAAGAAGAATGTGGAAATGGCAGGAGGTTACAGTTTACAAAAAAATAAAATATGTTTATGATACTTGATAATGACATGGTAGGATTGTATCTAAGGCATCAATTTCCTAATTTTCTTAAGTAAAAGAAGTTCACAACAAAAACTAATGGTAGTTTATACTTCCCACCAGATATGAGCCAGTGTGTGAAATGTGCAGATCATCAGTATGCCAACGCACAGAGAAGTCAGTGCCTCCTGAGAGAGGCAAGTTTCCTGGGTTTTGGAGATCCTTTGGGTATGGCTCTGGCCTGCATGGCTCTCTGCTTCTCTATGCAAACTGCTGCTGTTCTTGGCATGTTTGTCAAACACCAAGACACTGCCATTGTTAAAGCCAATAACCGGACACTCAGCTACATCTTGCTCATCAACCTCATCTTCTGTTTCCTCTGTTCCTTGCTCTTTCTTGGTCGTCCCAACACCGTCACTTGCATCCTGCAGCAGATCACATTTGGGGTTGTCTTCACTGTGGCTGTTTCCACAGTGCTGGCCAAAACGGTGATTGTGGTCCTGGCCTTCAAGGCCACTTCCCCAGGGAGAAGGATGAGGTTGTTGCTGGTTTCAGGGGCTCCTAACTTCATCATCCCCATCTGCACCCTCATCCAGGTGACCCTCTGTGGACTCTGGCTGGGAACCTCTCCTCCCTTTGTGGACACAGATGCACACTCTGAACATGGTCACATCATCATCCTGTGCAACAAGGGCTCCCTCACTGCCTTCTACTGTGTCCTGGGATACCTGGGCACACTGGCCCTGGCCAGCTTCACCCTGGCTTTTCTGGCCAGGAACCTGCCTGACACCTTCAATGAAGCCAAGTTCCTGACCTTCAGCATGCTGGTGTTCTGCAGTGTGTGGCTCACCTTCCTGCCTGTTTACCACAGTGCCAAGGGGAAGGTCATGGTGGCTGTGGAGGTATTCTCGATCTTGGCCTCTGGGGCAGGGCTCCTAGGCTGCATTTTTGCCCCAAAGTGTTACAACATCATGTTAATGTCAAATAGAAATACTCTGCATGGTTTCAGGGATAAAAGTCATAGTAGGAGAAAATAACTTTCTTTAACTCATATATTTGATGAGCATACAATTTGCCTGATCAAATCTACAATAATTTTGCAATGTTAGTTTGTGAAATTTTTACTTCAATAAATAAGAATCTATTGTTCATTTTCCTACTAGTAGTAGTCAAAAGTGGTGGTAAATTTTCTTGAATAGTTTTGGTTCCTTCTATTTATTTAGACATAAATCTTATTATTCCTCTTCTCCATTTATTGTCACTGTTGCCTTTCTCAATCATTTTTCTCAATTATCAAGTATAAGAATTTCCTGTCTGAAAAATTATATTAAGTGAAGTAAGCCTGGTCCAAAGAAACATAGGTCCCATCGTTTCCCTTATTTGCAATAACTAGTATATGATTGAGTCAAGCAGAAAAGGTCAGATAAGTTGATATTAGGGAAATGAACCCCAAGTTAAATATTCAAATTTTTTTCTTTCATAGGATTGTTTCTAACGTATTTATAAGATGATTTCTTTGTTGCTTTGTATGTCCCTCCCCTATGGTAAAACCCCTGCTTTCACTGTATTTGATGTTGGTATAATTTGTGGAGGGGAAGGGTAAAAACAAATCATTTAAACAGGGAATATTAGAGATTTTGTATGCATGTATGAAAATAAAATACTGCAGGTCATTAGGATAATTTAATGTTTTAGAGGAAATAAAAGTAATGGATAAAGATGCATCAGACTTCATATGCCCTATAAAACTATCATAATGAAATCCATATTTACCATATACACTTGAAAATTTAAAGTAATACAAAAATTAAATTTAAAAGTCAGTCTCCCTACAGTTGGAAAAAATAACTTCTCTTTGGTCTGTTTGACCTAAATTTAATTTTTTTGTTTTTGTTCGTGGGGCTTGAATTATGGGCCTGGGCATTGTTGCTCAGCTCTTCAGCTCAAGAGGAGCACTCTACCATTTGAGCCACAGTGCCACATGTGGTTTTCTGGTGTTTTATTAGAGATAAGAGTCTCATGGAAAGCCAGGCCCTGGTGGCTCACGTCTGTAATCCTACCTACTCAGGAGGCTGAGATCTGAGGATCATGGTTCAAAGCCAGCCCGGGAAAGGAAAGTCCGTTAGACTTTTATCAATAAATCACTAGAAAGCCAGAAGTGGTCCTGTGGGTCAAACAGTAAAGCACTCGCCTTGAGCTGAAGAGCTGAGGGATAGCGCCCAAGCCCAGAGTTCAAGCCCCAGGACCGACCAAAAAAAAAAAAAACAAAAAAGAGTCTCATGGACTTTCTTGCCATGGCTGGCTTTGAAACGTGATCCTCATATCTCAGCCTCCTGAGTATTTAGGATTACAAGCCTAAGCCCCCTCGCCTGACTAAACTTAATTTTTAATCCATTAAGTAAAGTAAACACAAACTCATAATTGAACTGTCAGCTTTACAAAAAGAATATAGGATTCAAAGCCTAATGGAGTTTCTGTAAAAGACCTCTGCACTGAATGTTAAAGCTTTGAAGTTAGAAATTGGAAAAACAGAAAACAGAAAGAATTCTTATGTGCACAAACTGGCAGGATTAAAACTATGAATGTGGATATGTTCCCAGAAGTGCCCTACAGATTTAATGCTATTTCCCTGAAAAATTGCTGGGCATTTTTTTGCAGGAACAGAAAAACAATAATCCTAATCCAAAAGCAATCAAGAACATCTATAATCATAGTAAGAATGTGAAGAGCCTTGTCTGAACCCAGGAGAGGCAAAAAATTTTGGGGTAGGATGGCAGAAATCTGTCATCTCAGCTCTGTAAGAAGTAGAGATGGAAGGAATCCGAGTTCCAATCAGGCACTAACATCTTAGTGTTAGTGTCCACAGTGGTGCATGCACGAAATAACAGCTATGATAGGAATGTAAAAATGGATTGGAATTCTGGACTATGTTTGCAGTATGTGGGGCATAGCCGACTAGTGTTTGGTCTGGTATGTGTCTGGGGTAGGCTGATGCCTACTGGGGGTTACTCAGTATGCCCCTGGTCATGAATTGGCATCTATTTCTTGAGGGGCCGGGAGCAGCCTTCCAGCACCCAGATATCACTTGATATCTGGGAAGGAAGGCACTGGTCCCCACTATGCTTTAATGGGAGATTGTCTCTGCACCAGTCCTTGGCTGGCAGATGTTGGCCTCAGAAGGGACGGGCTCCCACGGGCTGGTGCAGGAGATTGTCTTCACTTGTATCCTAGGCTGGCATCTTACTTGTCCCCAGCTAGTTTCTACTTCCCATAGAGGTAGGGGTGTGGCCCTGGACTGGCAGACTCTTGGTCCAGACCTAGCGTGCTTGCATCTGGTTGGTGACAAATAAAAACCATCCACAACAAGAAAAATGGAAACAATTGATCTCCACCAAACCAGAATTACAAAAAAATACTCAGACATTCTGCATATAGAAAACCAACAAGAACACAATATTGACAGAGAAAACCATATCAGAGAACCCGATAAATATAGTAAGAAAGGAGAGGGCATAGCACCTAAGAAAATGGATAACATGGCAGGAACTACTCAGTCCTAACTCTCAATATTAATGAACCTCCAATTAAACAACATATATTGACTAGCTCGATCAAAAAGACCTATGGCCATCTAAACTCTGATAAGAGAGTAAACAACAAGACAGCCTCTTCAACACATGATGCTAGAAGAATTGACTATACACATGCAGAAAACTGAAGTTGGATCCTTATGTATCACCTTGTACTAGAGCCAATTCCAAATGGATCAAAGACCTCAATGTCAGACCATATTTTTGTACAATATTACCAGAAGTACTAAGGTTTTTTTGGCACAGGTCAAAATTTAAGTAAAGGTCCAGAAACACAACAAATCAAAGAAAGGCCAGATAAATGTGATTGCCTTAAACTAATGAGTTTCTGCTTGGCAAAAGCTGTGTGAGTCTGGGGGGCTAAGGGCTCAGACCTCTAAAACCTTCATTGAAGATCACATTGAGCTTCTATGCTGGAAAATGGGTGCTAATAGATTCAATTTGGCAGTAAAATCTATCAAATGTCACCCAATGCCTTAAAACTGTCACTTTCAAGAAATGGACTGAAAATTGTGCTATTTTAAAAAATAATCACAAAATCAAGTTAAACACATTCAGCCAAGTCTACAAAATAGGAAGCACCAGACTGAGGAAGAAGTCAGGAAAATCATCAACTTCCACTTCCAAACACAAAGTATCTGAAATACCTAGGAATAAACTAACCAAGGAATTCAAAGACATCTGCCAAGAAATCCAACAAAGCAACACATACAAAGAAATAAAATATCTCCATTGGTCATGGTTTGGGAAAAGGAATATTGTGAAAACATCTGTATCACACAAAAGGATATATAGATTTAAAGCAATCCTTATAAGAAATCACAAAGTCACTCTTCATAAAACTGAAAATCCAGTCCAAAAAATCATACAAAGGCATTAAAAAAAAAAAAACAAAACCAAAGCGATCTGAAGCAAAAAGAGTAATGCAGGAGTGATTACAACACAAATTAGTAGAGAGACCTACTCACATACTCAGCGTTGTACTTGCCCAAACTAAAACAATTAAAGCCAACAACACAGATCAGATGACCTCAAAATCAATTTGACAAAGGAGTCCCCCATGCCCACTCATACATATGCACACTCAAGGGTGATAAAACTGGATAAAAGTCAGAAAACTGTAAAGCAGAACTCAGGAAGTAGAAAAACTTCCCATGCTCTGGATTGGGAGGATTTACATCATGAAAATGGCAATACTGCCAAAGGCTGTCTACAACTTCAATGCAATACCCATCAATATCCCAAACTCATTCTTCAATGAAATAGAAGAAGCAAACCAAAAATTCATATGTAACAATGAAAGATCCCAAATAGTCAAACTAATGCTTAGCAGAAAGAAGAGTGCTGGAGAAATATCAATACCAAACTTCAAACTCTACTACAAAGCCATAGTAATTGAAATGGCTTGGTACTGGCACAAGAACAGACTTTAGGGAAACACACACATCAAAGAACGGTTGGACAAATGGGATTGTATGAAACTACAGAGCTTCTGCATGGCAAAGGATATAGTTAGCAAGATCAACAGAAAGTGCACAGACTGGGAGAAGATCTTCACTAGCCAGACAACAGACCAGGGATTCATAACTACAATATATTTGGAACTCAAAAAATTAAATCCAAAAATACCCCAAAATCTTCGAAGAGACAAGCACCCCATTAATAAGTGGGCTAAACATTTAAAGAGAGACTTCTCTAAAGAAGAAATAATAATATCCAGTAGACACACAAAGAAATGCACAACCTCTCTGACCATAAAATATCAAAATCAAAACATCAAGATTCCACCTCACACTAGTTAGAATGGTTATAATCAAGAAATCTAGTAAAAACAGATGCTCGAGGGGATGTTTCCAAAAGGGAACCTTACTGCACTGTTGGTGGGAGGGTAAACTTCTTCAACCACAATGGAAAGCAATATGTAGATTCTTCAAAAGACTACACCTAGACCTCTATTACCCAGCAATCCCACTTCTGGACATTTACCCAAATGATCACAAACAAGGCCCAAACTAAAACTACAAGCACAAATATGATTATTGCAGAATTGTTCACTATACCTAAGATATGGAACTACCCAGATGCCACTCAGTAGATGAATGGATCAAGAAAATGTGGTATATGTATACACACATATATGTACATATTATACATATGTATATGTATAGTACATTATACATATACATATGTATAATATGTACATATATGTGTGTGTATATATATAATGGAATTCTGTGCCTCTACTGGAATGAATGACACTGCCCCATTTGTTAAGAAATGGAAAGACTTGGGAAAAATTATATTAAGTGAAGTAAGCCAGACCCAACAAAACATAGGTCCCATGGTTTCATTTATTTGTAGTAACTAGTATACATCTAGGATAATCTTATAAGACAAGCAGAAAAGTTGAAAAGCTATGTAAATATGGCCATATAAGATGATGCTTA